GTAATGGGGATGAGATATTTAATATTAGAAGTTATTAAAGTAGACTCTGCATTATTCTGCCATCTATAAGAACTTTTTTAAATATAAAATTGTCCTCATTTACCAACCTTCTATTTGCTATATAAGTATATATATAGCTCATAATGTTTCTGATAATTACCGTGCATTACCTGTTACAATGGCAATTATGTAAGTACATAAATAACACCTTTTTAAAATAAAAAAACATTTGAAGTAATAATCTAAAAAAATAATAGTTTTTAGGAGACACTTTACAATTCCTGTATGATATACTGTACTTTGCATTTGACACTTAAAAAAAAAATACAAATACACAAAAATTCCTCCTTGCATATTTGCACTCCTTCGTTAGCTATACTGGCTGATACTGTCCAAGTTCACACACACACACACACACACACACACACACACACCACACACACACCACACACACACACACACACACACAAAGGAAGCTGGAAACTCAGATGAGTCACAGAGATGTTAGGAAGTTTTCTTTTAGCGTGAGAGTAGTGGGAAAATGGAATACACTTCAGGAACAGGTTGTGGAAGCAAATACTATTCATAATTTTAAAACCAGGTATGATAGGGAAATGGGACAGGAGTCATTGCTGTAAACAACCGATGCTCGAAAGGCGGGATCCAAGAGTCAATGCTCGATCCTGCAGACACAACTAGGTGAGCACAACTAGGTGAGTACACACACACACGCCCTGGCCTATAACGCGGTATACCTGGAGGAACTGCGTCGACAGCTGCCTGGAGGAAGGTCTTGGGCCAGCGTACAGGAGCAGGCAGTCGGAGGAACTGGTCTGGAACTGGAAGCTCAGGTGGACCCGGGGACAGGTGGGGACTGGGGACACCCACGCCCATCCTTCTCCTTCAAAACGACGACTCAGCTGTTTACAGATGGAGCCGCTGGTGCCTTGCGGACACACGCATCTGGCCAAACAGTTCAAAAAATCGAGAATTACGTGGTTGTGTGTTGTTGATCAGCAATCAGTGTATCTTGCCGTCGGATCAACAGTTTATATATAATATACATCTTTTGTTATGAGGCATATAACACTGTGATCTTTGAGAAAGTTTTTTCCATATCTGCATCACCGAAGGAAGAGTATGAATGGCATTAACATAAGAAGGTACGCAAGACTGAAATTTTGGCAAAGTAATGCTTAACTAACCTCTACACAGTCACACTAGCTTAGCACTTGTGATAACTTACAAGTATGTGTAGGGATAGAGAAGTCTTACCTGGGTCCCTGAGGTCTGGCTATGCACCGCCCACCGTTCAGGCAGGGGTTGGGCAGACAGGAGTAGGGGCGGGTGACAGCCGCAACACTGGGCTGATGAGATGAGTTACTGCTAACTTGTTGCTGCTGTCCTTGCTGCTCCTGCTGCTGCTGCTCCTGCTGCTGCTGCTGCAGAATCTGCGGCTGACGGGTGCGACAGTTGCATCCGCTGGTCCTTGTGTGGAAACGTGGAGTAACAACTGCTGTTTGGTTGGCGTCTACGAGCCAGGCCCGCGGGCCTCCTGCGTGCTGGTGGAGCGGGCGGGTCGTCAGACACACACCCACCCCGACGTCCGCCACCTCCACCCCAGACTCCCGCCACACCTTTAATGTCAAAACAAAAGAAAATCTGAAATATTTCAACATGCATATTTTCCCTTCATACTTCCTGGTTATCGTTAAATATGGCAGAATAATATTAGTACAAAGAGAATTATTTCTGAAATTGACTGTAACAACTGGTCTGAAACTATTTTTATGTAGTATAGTACTAAAAAAAAAAAGGAATTTATAGCATCTAAAAGCCTCTCTATTATGTAATCAAATTCCCCATCTCCTTAAGGTCCATCAGCCGACTATATATCATAAGGTTTCTACAAAGTCTTCTAAAATGAAGTTTAGCGGGACCCAAGTAGAGGTGTGTGTGTGTGTGTGTGTGTGTCACCTGGTGGCGGTGAAGGAGAAGGAGCTGGTCGAGGGGCTGGCGGGGGCGGGCTGCCAGCCACACCCGGGTCTCTGGACCTCCTGCAGTAGCCACCCTCCGCCCCTCCAGGGACACCACCACCACCTCCACGCCAGCAATGGCCTCCACCGACGACACCAGAGCGTTCAGTGGAGATTTCCCGATATCCTTCAGAGTAAATATACGGCTTTAAAGTTCTGAAATAACAAACCTTTACCATAAAACAATTATGACATACTCTTAAAAACTAGAATACATTTCAAATACCTTAAAAATATATATTAGGTATATAATCAAAATAATATGTAATTATGATACTTTTTTTGCAGTTTTAGAGGCTATTGCATCTATCCATAGTGACGAAGTTTTAAATTTAAATTTAAATTACAAAAAAAGACGCTATTCCTGAAACAAGTATCAAGATGTAGGCCCAGTTCCTTGTTCTTATACCCCAGTTCCTTGTTCTTATACCCCAGTTCCTTGTTCTTATATTCCCAGTTCCTTGTTCTTATATCCCAGTTCCTTGTTCTTATATCCCAGTCCCTTTTTCTGATATCCCAGTTCCTTGTTCTTATATCCCAGTTCCTTGTTCTTATATCCCAGTTCCTTGTTCTTATATCGCAGTTCCTTGTTCTTATATCCCAGTTCCATGTTCTTATATCCCAACTCCTTGTTCTCATATCTTAGGTCTGTGTCCTCATTTACTAGTTCCGTGTCCTCATATATCCCATCTCAATGTCCTCAAATCCCTTCCAAGTGCTATATAGCCACACTGACTCAGCCACTCCCTCCCTCCCTGGTAAATTACCTTACCTTCTAACCCGAGTTGGTGTGTTTTTCTCTCTTCCAAGAAATATAATTACATGCCATCAGCCAAAATTAAGACTGGGGGGGGGGGGGGGGGGGGGCGGGGGTTGAACGGTGGATTTAACTGGCTGGTTTAACCGCCGTAGATACTGGGGAACAAACCCCCCTCCCTGATACAAGTTAACGAGGGCAAACTGGGCGCGATTGTGTAGTTTGAAGGGGAAAAACAGCGAGTCGTACCTGGCGGTAGGCGATGAGGTGCTGGGGCGTGTGTGAGGGGAGGGTGAGGGGGACGGCCCAGGGGATGAGGTCGTGGGGGAGGGTCGTGACCTCCACGCTGACGCTGGCCTCCACGTCCTCCTGCCCGTGGGTGGCGTCGCTCACCCAGAACTGGAGGAAGTACCTGGGGAAGGGCTGGCTTGTCTCTCTCTCACTCTGAGGATACGTCTACAGCCACTACTACGTCTACGGCACGTCCCTCTCACACTACGTCTACAGCCACTACTACGTCTACAGCACGTCCCTCTCATACTACGTCTACAGCACGACCCTCTCTCACACTACGTCTACGGCACGGCCTCTCACACACACTGAGGATACATTCTACAGTCACCCTACATCAATCCCCGTTCCCCCCCACACACACACACTGCCACAGATATGATATGATAGAGCCCAGTAGGCTCAGGGATCTGTACATCAGTTGATTGACAGTTGAGAGGCGGGACCAAAGAGCCAGAGCTCAATCCCCGCAGGCACAATTAGGTGAGTAGAGAGAGTTAACTTGGTACCTACACTAAGGAGGAAGGGGGGGTTAACTGCACCAATCATATACTAGTGTTGATCGGAGCAAGGAGGAATGAGTGTGAGGTTGACAGCACCAGCCGGCGCTATGAACACAGCTGAACAACAACGACTGATGTTCAGCAACACACTTATCGTCGATCAACTAATGGAATATTTTTTGTTGACACATGGTAAAGCAGGTAGATCTACATTTCGTATTATAACGTTCAGGTTTAATTAATCTCCATTCCAGTTAATGTGATGACCAGTATCCCATCTGTGATTGACAACTGCAATGCTCAATTTACACACACACACACACACACACACACACACACACACACACACACACACACACACACACACACACACACACACACACATACACACACACACACACACACACACACACACACACACACACACACACACACACACACAAACACACACACACACACACACCACGTTGATAAATATAACATATACTGGTATATGTTTGTCCTCTGTCCATTCCCACTAATTCCTGAAGCTGCAAACACCAAACTTTGAATAAATCAAAGTCCTCTCTCTCTCTCTCTCTCTCTCTCTCTCTCTCTCTCTCTCTCTCCTCTCGCCTCTCTCTCGCATATCTTCTCTCTCTCTCCCTCTCTCTCATCTCTCTCTCTCTCTCTCTCTACTGCGTGCTCAGTTGCTGTGAGAGATGATGTTAACCCTTAAACTGCTGAATTAAATTACCCCTTTAAACTTCTCAGTTCAATGCGAGTGTATTGACCTTCGCCCTTTCTTTATAGCTATTATACCTACTGAAACACAATTTTCGCTCGAAAAATGTATAATCTGAATTGCATTTTTCTCACTGCAAATACTGCTGCCATTATAAAAAAAAAGGTATTAGTAAATCTCTAACTTCCCTAAAAAAACTCTTCCAAGCTTTGTTAGTAGCCTCGGGGTTTAGAAAGTACTGTCTGAATATGGGATGATACTTTACTGTGACAGATTATTCAGAAAATGTTGGTAGAACTAAACTAAATTTAGCTTTATCTTACACAAACGTTATTTAAAACATTTACACCCAGCTGAAAAACACTCCCAGGGTGAGGTTGGGTACAGCCCCCCAGGGTGTGGCTCTGGACATTCCCCCATCGAATGAGTGGCCAAGAAAAGGGACTCACGTGCCGTCGGTAGCGTGGGCGGCCATGGCGAGCTGGCCCGTGTGGGCGTCCAGGGTGAAGAGCGGGTGCTGGCTTCCCGCCCGCCACGCCCACCGCTTCTGCAGAGCGTCCCAGTCGTCCGGGTCCTGCACGTACACACGCCCCAGCGGCACCTCCCCTGCTTGGCCCTGCTCGTCAGGAGGGAAGGGAGACACGCTAATTAGTGGTTGGGTGGTCTCTGAGACACACACACACACCACACACACACAACACACACACACACACACACACACACAAACACACACACACACACCCACACGCGCGCACACACACAAACACAGGGGCCGCGTAGCCGGTGGATCAGGGGCCTCGTAGCCTGGTGGATAGCGCGCAGGACTCGTAATTCTGTGGCGCGGGTTCGATTCCCGCACGAGGCAGAAACAAATGGGCAAAGTTTCTTTCACCCTAAGTGCCCCTGTTACCTAGCAGTAAATAGGTACCTGGGAGTTAGTCAGCTGTCACGGGCTGCTTCCTGGGTGTGTGTGTGTGTGTGTGTGGGTGGGAAAAAAAAAAAAAAAAAGTAGTTAGTAAACAGTTGATTGACAGTTGAGAGGCAGGCCGAAAGAGCAAAGCTCAACCCCCGTAAAAACACAACTAGTAAACACACACATACACACACACCACTAGGTGAGTACAACTAGGTGAGTACACACACACAAGTGCATACTATACGCTCACATGAGCCACAGGGAAGCAATATAAGATTTTGGGTTAGCCATAAAAATGAGACCTGTGGCTGGCTAACAGAACCACGAGCTGCAAGAGGGTATACATAGTCTCAAGATTTTACAAGAGTACAGAAAAGCTGTATAAGATTCTAGATAAAAAACTGTTAGATTCTTCATAAAAGCTGTAAGATTCTACAAAGAAACTGTAGGATTCTATGCAAATGTTGTATTATTCTACATAAAAGCTGTATGATTCTAGGCAACGTTACAAAGTTTCTGTACAAAAACCTAAATAATCCTGTATTAAAATCGCAATATTGTGTAGAGAAATTCAAGGTTTCGCATGAAGGCGCAAAACCGATACAACAACAGAATAATACAGTATAAAATCTTCCAGGTTGTGGGTAACGGCTGCAAGATTCTGCGTACAATCTTGCGCCGTATAAGACGTCGCGATACTGAGGAACACTGAAGACAGAGGACTCTATACTTACCGCTACCCGCGTGACCACGACGGTCTTCACCGCCGGTCTCATGGGGTTGTCGTTGACGTCGGCTACGGTGATGGTGACGGTGACGGTGGCGGCGAGGCCCCCGGCGTCCGCCACCCGGAGCGGCAGGGGGCGCGCGGCGGCCTTCTCCCGGTCCAGGGGCCGCAGGGACGTCACCACGGCCACGCCCCGGCCCTCGTCTCCTCCTGAGGCATAGGTACCGTGGCTGGGTTTTGGTGCTCAAGTCACGTTGGTGTTTTGGTGTTTTAGGGTTTTGTGTGGGAGGCCTGGGTTTTTGGGTGTGTGTTTGTTGGGTTGTTGGGTTGTTGTTTGTGTGGGTGTGTGTATAGGGAAGGGTGTGTGTGTGTGTGTGTGTGTGGTGTGTGGTGTGTGTGTGTGTGGTGTGTGTGGTGTGTGTGTGTGTGTGTGTGTGTGTAAGGAAGGGAGAAAGCCAAAGAGAGAAAGAGAGAGAGAGAGAGAGAGAGAGAGAGAGAGAGAGAGAGAGAGAGAGAGAGAGAGAGAGAGAGAGAGAGAGAGAGAGAGGAGAGAGAGCAGAGAAGAAAGAGAGAGAGAGAGAGAGAGAGAGAGAGAGAGAGAGAGAGGAGGCGAGAGAAGAGAGAGAGAGAGAGATGAGAGAGAGAGGAGGAGTATGATACACAAACATTGAAGAGAAACGGACTGTAGTACTCACTGGGATCGAAGTCAACAGCGAAGTCTTGCTTGACATGTGTTGCGACGTCCTCGGCCAGGGCGATGGTGAACGGCGGTCCATGGCCCAGAGTCCAGTCGTCGGCGTCGTCCAGGGTGATGTGGGCGACGTGGCGTGGTCCGCTGTTCTCCGGCACCTGCAGGAGAGCGGGCCCGGACACGTGCGGTGGGTTGTCGTTGACATCCGTCACGGTGAGCTGGAGGGTTGCGGTGCCGGTGCGGGCGGGGTCCCCGCCGTCCACTGCCAGTACCCGTACCGTGTGGCCCGCCGCGGCCTCTCGATCCAGCACCCGCCGTAACCGCACGCGGCCCTCAGAGTCCACGGCAAACCGCCTGCCCGGGTCGCTGCTGGGGTCGATGGCGTAGTGGATCTCGTCGTCGCCGCCCTGTGTGCCACAGGAGGGTGTGGAGACCACAAACGTAACGTAATTGAAAGCACAAAGCCAGTACGGCTATTTTAATGAAAACTTAATAAGCGCGCACTGCATCTAAACACAGGTTTACTTGATAGCCTGAGCGACTTTATATATCCCATAACATCTCTCCCAAAATTAGTCTCCTCTTAATAAAATTGTTTTTTTATTCCCCACCCCCCTCCCTCCTCCGCCTCCGAGGATTTTAAGGGGTACTTCAGCGAAATGCGTTTTTCAGCGACACACGCAATGCCTATTAAAAATGTAAAAAAACTCTTTGCGCAGTAAATTTGTCAATTTCCTTCCCATATGAAACTTTCTAGTTAAACAATGAACATTAAATTTCGACCATTATTTTTACCATTAAGATCCATATGGATTTTGGTTTTGTATTTTTGTAATACCGAGGAAGCAAAAAGGAAGCAAATAAATTGAAATAGATGAATTAGGAAGGAAGAATATGAGGAAAGGGGAGGAAAGGAGAAAGAGGTTAAGGAGTAATAGAAAGATGAGAGTTAAAAAAAGATAGAATAGAAGCTTGGAAAAATAAAGAGTAGAGTTAGTAGGAGGAAGGAGTGGGGTCGTCTAATTAACCAAAGCTACCGAAAGCATGACGCAAGTAATGTACAAATATTATATATCTACTCACTATAATGTTGCTGTGAATGTACATCCTTTCGGTCCATGACGGATCGAAACGTCGTTTTGTTAATTGGGTGAGGTTATCTTGAGATGATTTCGGGGCTTTTTAGTGCCCCCGCGGCCCGGTCCTCGACCAGGCCTCCACCCCCAGGAAGCAGCCCGTGACAGCTGACTAACACCCAGGTACCTATTTTACTGCTAGGTAACAGAGGCATAGGGTGAAAGAAACTCTGCCCAATGTTTCTCGCCGGCGCCTGGGATCGAACCCAGGACCACAGGATCACAAGTCCAACTGCTGTCCGCTCGGTCGACCGGCTCCCTCCCGGTGATGCGTGGCTTGGATATCAACTATAATATCCCTTGTTTTCCTTACAATGATTACATTAATTACTAATTTAATTAAGTCTAGCCAAAGTTACCGTCTGTAGGGTGCTACAAAACTATTATTCACATTAGAGTTATGTCAAGTCGCTAAGTTAGCTTTGGTTCAAAGCTAAAAATATATACAATTTGTTCATTAAACTGAATGTATCACTCTAAAATGCTTGTGTTTTTTTTATTAAAGAAATTTGCCTTGTTAGGCAACTTTAGCTATTAAGCAAGTGTGTGTGTGTGTATTCACCTAATTGTTCACGCGGGGGTTGAGGTCTGGCACATCCGGCCCGCCTCTCAACTGTCAATCAATCAACTATTTCAACATCAATCCGGCTCTTTGCATATGTGTGTGTGCGTGTGTGTGTATTTCTGCGTGATTGTGTTTACCTGTAAGTATACCCTCGCGCGCGCGCATATGTATGTAGTATATTTATACAGACAAAATAAACGTCACTGGCCCCACAAATATATTCAATAATGGTGGTGTGGGCGTCCGTGTAATGTATGCGCCGCTCTCGATATCCCGTGTTCGCACTGGGAGGACAATGGCTGTTGCAGAATACGTGATTGGTAGTTAGTGACAGCACAAACAGCCAGCTGGTGCTGCCGGTGCCACCTGGTGCCAGCTTTCAGCCCAGCGCCAACAAAAAAATGTGGTCCATCCGGCACTGTTTTACTGTGCTTAATATCTATTGTGCAAAATTGAGGTTTGATTTAGTTTTTCTGTATATATTATTTTATTTTAATATATATATATATATATATATATATATATATATATATATATATATATATATATATATATATATATATAATAATTTGAGAGCCTGTTGCAACTATATTTATTAAATATATTAACTTCAAGCAAGTTACTTAACATTAGTATTGATCGACTCGCTGGAAAGTTACGGTGTGGCGCTCACCTGGTCGAGGTCGGTGGCAGCGAAGGTGGCGAGGGGGTGGCCGAGCGGCGTGTTCTCCGCCAGGGTGAGACTGACCAGGGTGGTGGCCAGGTGGGGGTCGTTGTCGTTGTCATCCTCCAGCGTGACCCTCACCCACGCCTCGTCCATGTGGCTCTCGTCCTCCCACCGCCGCTCCTCCTGACGGAGACACACACACACGCATACATATCGTAGACGTCACACGAAGGACCAATGAACGATGAAAGGGAGTCTGGTCAAGTCCTACACTGCGTTCAAAACAACTGTTAGCTTAGGCTAGGTTAGGCTAGGTTAGTCTGGATTAGAGTAGGTTAGGCTATGTTAAGCTGGGATGGGTTAGATCGGTTTTAATTCAACAAAAACTCAATTTATAATTGCATTAAATACGAAAGCCTGTAATCCAGGTGCCTGAGCTGGGGAAGGTAGACGGCTACATGACATATATATATCTCTCTCACCCTGTCGGAGACCTGGACCCTGAACTTGAATCCCCGGCGTTGGTCGGGGTCCTCGAAGTCGAGGGTGTGAAGGACGCGCAAGGAGCCGCTGTAGTTCCTGGCGGCCACCACCGCGAACCTCTCCCATCCATACCCGCTTCCCTCCACCACCTGTCCCAACAGCCAGGGGGATTAATTTGTGGATTTATTAGTGGATTAGAATATAGTGAAGCTTCCATCGGAGCCATAATCTCCCAACCAACCCCGTACAGAATCCAGAGTTCGCGTCCGGCGCGTCAACGGTTGGCGCCGGATCTACGTATAAGATACTGTTGCTTCAACCCCTGCACGCTCTCGACCCCTGCAGGCCCTGAACTCCTGCAGGCCCTCAACACGACTGCACTTTCCATTAGTCCATTTGATTGTTATACGTTCCGAAAATTATTTGGTGGTCGGTAAGGCTTCACAAAAGTATTGATTACAAATTTGTATAAAATTATTTAAAAAAAAGTAATGACACCATTTTAGCCTTTTTAACCAATTTTATTTGAAATTTAAATGAATGGAATCCTGTGTATCGATATTTGCAGATGACTGAAAGCTAATGAAGTGAATATGCATGAGAGAGAACTGAAGAACTTTGTATGGAAAGCCTGTGTGAGTAGTCTGACCCTTTAGACTCTGTATGTGTGTGTGTGCTCGTGTGTGTGTGTATGTGTGCGTGCGTGTGCGTGTACGTGCGTGCGTGCGTGTGCGTGAGAGTGCGTGTGTCCAAGACATCGCGACCCTAAAACAAGACTCTAATACTGGCCAACGAAGATGAAGTTGATTAACTCAAGAGCTTGCAAGCAACTTACCCTAAAAGCAAACTGGTTGGTGGTGTCGGGGTCGTGAAGGGTGAGGAGGGCCAGGGAGGTGTTGGGGGCGGCCGTCTCCTGCACCCTCACCGTCCACTCCCGCCGGTTGAAGCGGGGCGGCACGTCGTTCCGGTCCTCCAGCGACACCACGACCGTCCCCGTCCCTGTAACCGGAGGAGACCGGGTGGGGTAGGTTGTAGTTGAGAGAGAGAGAGAGAGAGAGAGAGAGAGAGAGAGAGAGAGAGAGAGAGAGAGAGAGAGAGAGAGAGAGAGAGAGAGAGAGAGAGAGAGAGAGGAGAGAGTGAGAGTGAGAGAGAGAGAGGAGAGAGAGAGAGAGAGAGAGAGAGAGAGAGAGAGAGAGAGAGAGAGAGAGAGAGAGAGAGAGAGAGAGAGAGAGAGAGAGAGTGAGAGAGAAGGGTGTGGGGGGTGAGACAGCCAGCAAGACAAGTGATTACTGTGTTGAGGAAGATGCTTCTTAATTACCATATATCGTCACCAAATGAAATTGACATTGACGTAACTGTCCAATTTACATAATAATATTTGTTTGGGGGGGCGGGTGTGTGTGTGTGTGTGATAGCGCAGTGGACTACGTCTTCCACTGACGGGTAATCGATATAAGGGCCGGATTCACCAGGCGGTTACGCAAGCACGTTGGGAAGCTTTTCAATTTTGATCTCATTCTTGGCAGTCACGTTGCGATTCTAGCGTTCACTATCGTTCTAAAGTGAGCTAGCTTTACGTAAACCGCAAATAAGTCAAGGATTCTCAACTACACAACCTGCAACTATTGATACTTTTGTCAGCAAGCCTCGTCAATGTCAGCTATCTATGCTCTATTAGGAAGTTATTAAGGAAGTTATTAAGAAAATTAACTTGATGAACATCAGTGCCAGAGAAGCTATAATGATTGCTGAGTTCAAGGACACCAGGAAGACCCCTAAGTCAGTGTGTCTCTAACTGGCATTAAATATGTATTACAAAAATTAGTATTACAGCAAGAAATTATATGATTAACTATTAAGTCAAATAAAAAGTGCTAAAAAATAATAACTAAGAAAACTGAATGTGTTTTTCTTAACATTATTTGTTTACTACTAAATGCAGTTCACCCAAATACTGGTCAATTATTTTAGAAATTACATAGGCCTACACATTAAATATTTCACGGGAAGATTTAAATGTTCTATAATACTTTCAGTAATTTTTATAAAGTACTTTTTTTGTACTTAAAGTAATGTATAATGTTTTGTAGATCCATCATTTATCAATAATTTTTATACCTTGACAATATTTAAACATTAGGACTTAAATTACTACTATTACTACATTAAGATTACTACTTAATATAGATGATATTGTAAATACAATAATAATAATACACAGAGAGTAATCACACTAACGTGACTGCATTAACGAGAAAATCCGTATTATTTCATAATAAATCAATAATAATAATAATAATCTGAATAAAAATTCATTGTGCAGAAGTTGTAAAGCTTTGCATTATCCATAATAATTAAATTTTAAATACAATATAACATTATTTAATAAAATGTGATGTCTTAAATATGTTTAAAATATAAAGACACGTATGTTTCAAGAAGAAAAATATTATATCTGAAATGGAAGCGAAAATATAATGTTTCTAAACACTACTTGTCTCCCCCCGTCCTTGAAGCACTGGACCCTACACGCCCGGCCATCAATTCAGTAATTAAATGAGAGATTCGCTAATAAGCGTCTGAATTACAGACCGAGACGTCTGGAAGACAGATCGAGGCGTCTGTATTACAGACCGAGACGTCTGGATTACAGACCGAGGCGTCTGTATTACAGACCGAGACGTCTGGATTACAGACCGAGGCGTCTGGATTACAGACCGAGACGTCTGGATTACAGACCGAGACGTCTGGATTACAGACCGAGGCGTCTGTATTACAGACCGAGACGTCTGGATTACAGACCGAGGCGTCTGGATTACAGACCGAGACGTCTGGATTACAGACCGAGGCGTCTGTATTACAGACCGAGACGTCTGGATTACAGACCGAGGCGTCTGGATTACAGACCGAGACGTCTGGATTACAGACCGAGACGTCTGGATTACCGTCTGAATTGCAGTCGAATAAGACGCCTGGATATCAATCTAAAGCGCACGGATAACAATAGTCCGAAGCAATGCATCACCTTAGGAAAGGGGGCAAAAAAAAAAGTGACCTAAACAGTCCAGGTGAACTCGGCTTAGTTTATGAAGCACCAGGGACCAGGAGGACTCACCTTTGAGGCCGCCACCGTCGGAAGCCACCACCTGGATGACGAAGGAGGGCGTCTGTTCCCGGTCGAGGCAGCACAGCGCCGTCCGGATGCTGCAGAAGGAACACCAGTCACACACCAACCTGTCCTCTTAAAAAGATCGTCGCTTTTGGCCGTTTGCCCGTATGACCGAATATGGACGTAATTTGAAAATGAAAAAAGTGAAAATAAATTTGGGATTTTTTTTTCAACAACAGTAAGTTAAGGGTCCTCTGATAGGTTAGATGGGCAGGAAATTCTCATAAAGTTTCAAAACGGTATGAAAAACGTTAATGGAAAGTTGCCTCTTCTAAGCTTGCCGAGTAAGTCGGACGACTCAAACAGAAAACGGAGCAGTACGTCACTTTTGTGAGTCGATTTCATTTCAAATTACGTCCAAGTTTGGCCATAGCGGCGCATACGAGCCAAAAGTGACGTTATTTTTAAGAGGGCGGGTTGCGTTGCGCACACACACTTCGTCAAGTATTTCTGCACGAACACCCTCATTAACGAGCCAGCAGCTCCCATTTATATTTACCCCAAACTAATTCACATATAAGAATGACATAAGAATAATGAAGAATGCTTCGAGATGAGTCAGGTATACGGTCATCAACAAAGGTCTTGGTGGAGTGTCAACCCCGAGGCCTACCAACCTCTGGAAGATCACGGTTCTAGAGTCACCAGCCTTCAAGTACCTTCAAGACAACGTCCGACAAAGGTCAAAGCAAAGTATGAGGAGAATAACTGCTTTTCCCCCACACTTTGGAGGAATAAGTAATTCGAAAACAACACTTACTGACCAGGGACCAAAACAATGGTTACATAGTGTTACTTTAAGGTTGCATAGTGTCACATGTCTGGCCGGTATTTTAGGTCTTGAACTCAACCTAATTCTTACATATCGACCTGATTCTTCGCCCCTCGACCAGATTATTGATCCTCTTTCACATCCTTCGTTTGATGTACGGGTCTTAAGGGCCCGTCATCAATATAGGAATGAGTTTAGGGGGATAGTTTGGAGGCTGTGGTCGAGGACCGGGCCGCGGGGACACTAAAGCCCCGAAATCATCAAATCATCTCAAGATAAGATATAAATAGGAGCTGCCTCGTATGGGCCAATAGGCCTTCTGCAGGTACCTTCATTCTTATATTCTTATGTTAACTCTGGAGAGTTATTAAGGCCACCACACTACATTGCTCTCCAACTAGAAAAGTAGGCCTGAACACAGTACAGGATTAAAGGATATATATATCCCTGGATGAATATATCTGCCTGCCGCTCTCATCCTTCTCACCTGCCGGAGAAGGTGTCGATGGAGAAGATGGGTCGGCCCGTCTGCTCGTCGATGACGTTCTTATCGACGGAGTAGGTGATGGCGGCGTTGGCGCCCTCCAGGGGGTCGTCGTGGTCCGTGGCCTCCACCCGCGCCACCTCCGTCCCTGTGTACCACCCTCATCTATATATTATATAAATAAACATCTATATATTCTACATGAATGAGAGAGAAAGAGGGAGTGTACTACATCCGGTTGTATTAGTTAGGAACCTTAGCCTTAGAGAAGAGTATATGCGGCACTTAGGAAGCCTCGAGCTCCTTGTATGCTGAAATTATAACGAGGACTGTCAAGTGACAAAGCCTCTTGGAACATGGGCCAATCATTCTGGAGACGTAGACAAATAGTTTGACCTCGTGATGGACCTTCAAGGCAGCAGCCGAACTGCACAACGCAGCGAAGCCCACTGCCAGGGGGCCACACCGTCTTGTTCAGCGACGCTATACACTCCTGAACCAGCAGGAAGGTTCCCGAGACTCTTAGAGACGCTGCTGGAGAGGCCAACAGCTGCGGCCTGTCCCCCCCCACCGGAACACACTCTTGGAAATGGCACTTTATATGCATAGCGACCAGGAAGAATTACATCTCTTTGGCTGCTGGTAAAATTAAATGCAAACTTTCCATCTCTCTCTCTCTCTCTCTCTCTCTCTCTCTCTCTCTCTCTCTCTCCTCTCTCTCTCTCTCTCTCTCTCTCTCTCCTCTCTCTCTCTCCTCTCTCTCCTCTCTCTCTCTCTCTCTCTCTCCTCTCACCTGTGATCCAACTGACAGAAGGCTTAGATGTTGAAGAATAGCCCCCATAAGCAGTTAGGTAAACACACACACACACACACACACACACACACACACACACACACACACACACACACACACACACACACACACACACACACACACCGACCAAAGAGCCAGAGCTCAACCCCCGCAAGCACATCTAAGTAAGTACACACACACCTGCTCCGACTCACCTTCCGCGGAGTTCTCCAGGACACTAGCATCAATAACATCACGGGGGAAGAAGGGGGCGTTGTCATTGATGTCCTTGACGTTGACGTGAACTTGAGCGTGAGCGTCGTGGACGCCGTCCGACGCCGTCACCCACAGACGCCAGCGGGCACGTCCAGCGGGCGCGTCCCGGTCTAGTGGCTGGGGGAGAGTGTTGGGGTCAGGTACCAGTGGACTGGTGGGTAAGCTGAGGAGAGGAGAGGGTGAGTAAGCTGAGACTGAGGTTGCTGCTGCTGCTGCTGCTGCTGTTGCTGCTGCTGCTGCTGCTGCTACTGCTGCTGCCAATTCGCTGAAATCCTTGGGGATTAATGTTTGGGCCTAAACTGTTAGATGGTAAGAGATATGGGAATGGATTGGAACTGAGGAGGGACTAAAAACAAGGGTTGGCCAGGGGAAACAATTTGGGCAAAAAAGAGTATAGCTGGAGACGGTCCCACAACACACTCAAGATGTGGTACACAAATAGCAGGAGCCTTAAGACACAAACTAGATGATTGAGGCGGTGTTAAATGCACAGAAATTCTAAGACTATTATTACACTAACTGAAACGTGGATGAATGTAGAATACATTTTACTATTTACGATTAAGAGATTTAAATTATTTCACGTGGGTAAACAGATCAGATGAGGTTGGGGGAATAGCAATTTTAATTTTAATTATACTTTTAAACAATATTTTTGTTTTTATATATAATGTCAGAGGGACTTAAAATTAAGCCTAATACAAAAACTGTCTGGACAAAATTTAATGATAGTAATAATAATCTAATAATAGCTAATAATAGAAGCTACAGACAGCCTCCAAACTTCGACAGATTAGAATGAAATCATGTATGGGGGGTGAACTATCTAGAGCATCGAGGACAGTGTTTGTGTTATGAGTGACTTTAATTTGAATGGAATAAACTGGATTAACAAAACAAGAAATACCGAAGCCGAAGATCCTTTAGAATTAGTTGACGATTACTTCCTTCAGGGGCCCGAATTACATTCCTTCTTACGATAACATTTAAAAACATCTGAGTCTTATGAAACCTTATTTACAAAATGTAACCTGTAAGATACCCCTCCACCTCACGTTTCAGCACTGTAACTGGAATGGAAACGACAAAAAATAGCATTTCAAAGCTGTCCAGTCCATTGTGAACTGGTATCCAGAAGGGGTACCAGTCCACAGTGGTGAATGGGGGGTGCCTACAAGCCGGCCAGTGGCGGGTTCAGCAGCTTGTCGGTACTGGTAATACAACAAGAACGCCACTTACTCCTTAAGATATTTGGGTTAACGGTGAATTGGGAGTTCTGTAGGGGTGCTGGGGTTTCTTTAGCACTGGCGCTATGGGTAGGAACGTCACAGTACACACACACACACACACACACACACACACACACACACACACACACACACACACACACACACACACACACACACACACACACTGAGACGGTGTCACCCTGAGGAGACTCACCCTAAGGAGGTGGATGTGGCCGGTGGAGGGGCTGATGGAGAAGGTGACGTTGGAGGCGTCGTCGAGGTGGTCGTCGCCAGCCAGGGTGTACACCAGTCGTCCCTCGTCGCTCTCGTCGCCGTCCTCAGCTATCACCTGCATGATAAACACTTCTCAGCTGGCCCTATACCCAGACTTGTGGTACCTTACCCAGCTAGCCTTATACCCAAGCTTGGGGCACCACACACAGCTAGCCTTATACCCAGACTTGTGGTACCTTACCCAGCTAGCCTTATACCCAAGCTTGGGGCACCCTACCCAGCTAGCCTTATACCCAGGAGAGAGAGAGAGAGAGAGAGAGAGAGAGAGAGAGAGAGAGAGAGAGAGAGAGAGAGAGAGAGAGAGAGAGAGAGAGAGAGAGAGAGAGAGAGAGAGACATTCATGATTATTTTCAAGAGCATTGAAGGGGCTCTATAAGCTGATCAGTCTAACTTGGCCTAGCAAGAAAGAGTTTGTGTGATCAACATGTTTTTTTATATTTTTAAATGTAACTTTTCTGATTTTTTTTTTAATATTGCGATAGTAAATGTATTACCTAAGTTCTTATATAATATTTGCAGAATTTTACTAATGGTTAGACACAACTGAGAAGTAATCGCCATATTTAATTTAAGTGGTTGCTAAGTTACTTTTGATTAAAAAAGAATATATTACATATCAATGTATTGAACTGAGTGAATCTATAAATTCATAAGAAGATTTACTTTTTCTCAAGAAACCTGATTTTCAAGACAATTCAGCTGCTGTGCTTAAACACTATGACGCTCTACGAGGAAAAACAGCACATATGGGAAAAGGAGAAGCGGGGTTACTTCCCTTATACCTCACGGACGTCTAATATTTCGACACGAGGATGACCTGAAATACTCGAGGATGACCTGAAATACTCGAGGAGGACCTGAAATACTCGAGGATGACCTGAAATACTCGAGGATGACCTGAAATACTCGAGGAGGACCTGAAATACTCGAGGAGGACCTGAAATACTCGAGGATGACCTGAAATACTCGAGCAGAACCTGCAATACTCGAGGATGACCTGCAATACTCGAGGATGACCTGAAATACTCGAGGATGACCTGAAATACTCGAGGATGACCTGAAATACTCGATGATGACCTGAAATACTCGAGGAGGACCTGTCGTGACGCAAGGTCACCCTCAGTGAGTCCCCAAAACATTCATGTAACCCAAAATATAATATGAATATTCTGCATAATGACAAATGTTCCTAAGTAGGCCAAACTGACTTAAGGTCATGACCCCCAAGGTGACCTCAGATGACAGATAATGAGTTACGACAACATCCATTGACCCCCTGTCCAAAGATAACTCACTATCCAACTATCACTAAGACGGCATAATCTGACCCTTTCAAGTTATGCCATCTTACACACACGCGCGCGGGCGAGACTGACCTGGAGGATGGCCTTAGGGAGGTGTCTGTCGTCCTCCTCAGTGATCTGGGTCTCGAACACGGGTCTGGAGAAGGTGGGCGCCAAGTCGTTGACATCATCCACCTGCACCATCACCCTGGCGTAGGCCCGTTCCTCACCAGCCTCCCCCATCACCACCAGCTCGTACTGAGGGAGAGAAGGATGGTGAGCCCTGGAACGGGAACAAGCTCTGTATGGGGCACAGGAATGGAGGTGTGGAAGGGGGAGGGCAGCGTTTGAAAAGCGAATGGAATGGGAGTGGGAGCTCCGTGAGCAACAGAGGGAGTGGAACATCCATATGTAACAGTTGTGGATGATATATTTGCTGGAACAGGGACAGGTGTGTTATATAGCTACTGGAACTGTGTAGATGAAACGAGAGAGGGAGACAGAGAGAGAGAGAGACAGAGACAGGCAGACAGACAGGTACAAAGAGCCCGTGCATGTTAAACTACCAATAATTACTCCACACAGTCATGCCTATTTAATTAACAATACAAACCATCACTCGACAAACAACAGCAGTAATTTACACGACTAAAATCACCATCGCGCCATCCACTACATTTCATGACCCGGTAAACATTTGACTATCCAACACATCATTACTTTATACATTACACAAATACTAAGCCCTCCCTTCCCCCCCCCCCTTTCCTCCATTCTCTCGGAGCACACATTGATGCGAAACACCTCCATCCCGGTGAAAGCGGGTCATCAATCCCGACTGGATGCAGGTCATCAATCCCAGGTCTTGATGCGGGTAGTTGATATAGTGATATAATGAGAGGACAGAGAGATAATGAGAGGACAGAGAGGATGAGGGGATGGATGGGGGGAAGAGGACGTGGATCAAGAAAAGGGGGGGGGGAGTAAGAGCTGGTATGAGAGGGGGGAGAAGGGGGGAGTGGGAGGAAAAGTGGTAGTGTGGAACACAGTGTCTGAAAACACTGACCTGACTCCTGAAAGCATTGACCTGACTCCTGAAAGCACTGACCTGACTCCTGGAAGCACTGACCTGACTCCTGGAAGCACTGACCTGACTCCTGGAAGCACTGACCTGACTCCTGGAAGCACTGACCTGACTCCTGGCTTCGTAGTCAAGTGGGGCGGTAAGGGTGAGGTAACCAGTGTGGGCGTCAAGTCGGAAAAGGCCGCCCACGCCTCCGCCCACCATGCTGTAGATCACGCCCATACCTGACACAATAAGACACACATGTGTGTGTGTGTAAATGACACATTTACATTTACAACACATGTGTGTGTGTGTTGTAAATGTGTGAGTGTGTGTGACAATATTTTAAGGTGTTGTTTTGTTGTTTAAGATTCGCTACTTGGAACAAAAAGTTTCAAGTAGCACGGGCTATGGTGAACCCGTAGTAGACTATTTTTTTAAGGTGTTTAACGCATAGTATAACTCCACGAATAATTAAATATATGTTCAAATATATTCTGAAATGTAACTGAAGCAAGTTATAAATTAAGGAACCAATAAATATGTAGCTGAATGTGATATATAAACATATAATTTTTTTTAAATATTTAAACAACTTCAATAGAATTTATATATATATATATATATATATATATATATATATATATATATATCTTTATAATTTATGATGATAATAATACACTTCTTGTCATGGATATACACCCACACATTGTTCGGGCGACGATATATACACAGAGAGTATATACATATTGCATCACTGGAATACAATATTCCAGCGCTCGTTGAAAGTACGCTGATAGTATAGTCCTGAATAATGACTAAACGACTCAAAAATTCTTGATGGCTGATCAGTAACCTGACCAGCCACCAAGTGGAGGTAGGCTGACTAGCTGGAGAGTGGGTGGAGACACGGTTACTCACCGGTGGTGTTGGAGACGGCGTGAAGCGTAAGGAGGTGGACGGGGACGGACGTGTTCTCCTCCACGAAGACCTCGGCTCTGGGCGGCGTGAAGACCAGGCTGCCCCGACCAACGAGCTGTGTGACTGTGGAACACCAGACTCTCGTCAGGGGCTGAGGGCCACCACTTGGCCTACGACCACCCCCACCCTCACCTTGGTCATACTGCCAGCCATCTCA